CCAGAAGGATTTGGCCAGGGAACTGTGGAGCCCAATGGATGCTCTGAGGAGGGAAGGGTTTTTGCCTTACCCCACTTGCTGCTGCTGCTGCTGCTTTTGTGTTTCTGTCCCAAATGCTTTTCCCTTTTGGGGGAAGCCATGAAGCAGAGCAGCCTCCTATCAGAGGCAGCACTTGGCCTTTCTTTAGAGATAACTGGCTGTAACTGTCAATGGGCTGCCATTTTTTTTTTTTTTGGTGGGGGGGTGTCATTCCCACCAGAAGGGAAGGAACACTGAAGCCCAGGCGGCAGTGGTTTTGCAAGCAGCCCCTTGAAGCCAGCGGAGTGTGAGCCTTGCCAAGGAGGAAACCCAGAGGGATGGATGAGGGTCTGGAAAGAGAAAGCAGCAGGAGACACATTCACACTCAAAATACATAAGTGGCCCACTTATTTGGAGCAATTTGAGGGCTGACCTACTATAGCTGAGCACTCCTCACATCCTCTTTGTCCAACCTCGGCTTCCCTGGAGCTTTTCCACAATGACAGCAGCTTCGTACCACTTTTAACTGCCATGGCTCCATCCTACAGAATCCAGGGGTTTGATATGGGGGAAGAGGTCAATGGGGGAGGAGGTGCCATGGCTCCGTCCTGCAGAATTCAAAGTATGGAGGTGCTTCGGTCTGCTATCCAGTGCAATATATGGCAGGCAGGGGATTCTAAGTGTCCCACCTCAAGGTACCCACCCCAGGATTCCCTAAGATGAAGGAGCCATGATGGCACCTCAAGCTGGATCAAGGGGGTATGGTTCAATAGTGCGGACATACTCATTGTGGAGAAGTGTGTGAGCCTCTCCAGTCGATGTCTTGGTTGGGTGCATGTGCAAACAAGCATGGATGATGTGTGTTGTAGTATTAGCTGCAGCTCATTTTTTGGATGTAGGATTGTGGAGAAGGGGGTGTGTGGACAGCAAGGCATGGGTGTGGGTGTGCCGGGATGAACTTGTTTTTGTAGTATTAGAAAAACAAAAGAATAAAACTCAGATTAGAGGCCAGAAATGGGCAAGCCCTCCATCCTCCCAGATGCACAAAAAGAGACAGGAGGCCTGGCTCTCAGGGAGGCCCAGCATCTGCCTTTCTCCTGAAGAAGGTGGGCTCTTGAAAACCAAAAAACGCACAGGAAGTTCCTCTCTTGCTTTGGTTCTTTGCCTTCACTCTTGTTGTTTAAGTGGGTAAAGGGGACTTTTTAAAAACAAAGCCCCCAACCTCTCTGGGTTTGTAATTTTATTTTTTTGGCAGGACTACTCTTCATCAGGGTTAAGTGGTGTGTGTGTGGGTGTGGGGGTGTGTGGTAACTTTCTCCATATCTCAGCTTTGCAGATAAAAGAGACGCTTCTCAAGGGCTTGGAGGGAGAGCGCGGCGGTTGTGCCCCTCTTCATCAGCGTGACTCAGGAAACGTGGCTGCAATTTCCACTTCTGCTCTCTGCAACCTCTGCTCCCTCCCTCCTTACCAGACCAGTGTTGCAAAATAAAGTGAAGCTCCAGAGGTCTGGAGAGTCTCCTTCTTCTGTCAGCAGCAGGAGCTTCACCCAGATATTGTTGGACTGCAGGTCCCATAATCCCTCACCAGTGCCTCTGCTGCCTAGGGCTGTGGGGGCTGCCCATTGGTGCTGCACTTGGTGCTTCAGTCTCCTGAAACAAGAGGGGCTGAAGCGTTCGTTGGGAGACCAGCTGGAGGGGAAGACAGGGATTTCCTGCATGGCAGAATGGGCTTGGACTGGACTGCCCTTTGGGTCTCTTCCAACTCTAGCATTCTATGGATGCAAAACCTCTATGTGCCATTTTGCGGTGGGTGGTGGGACTGAAAGAGCCAAAGTCATCAATCAAAATGCAGGCAAGAAAGCAGAAAAAGGGCAGGACCAGGGAGGGCAGCTGTGAAGGAAATAGCTAAGATCCTCAAGGATAAAGAGAGATCATTGCTGCTGTGTGCCTTAAAGTTGTTATGGCCTTAGGATCGCCACATCATGGGGTTTTCTTGGCAAGTTTTGTTCAAAGAAGGTTTGCCACCAGGGCTTCCTCTGAGGCTGAGAAAGTGTGACTTGCCCAAGGTCACCCAGTAGGTTTACATGGCTGAGCTGGGAATCAAACCCTGATCTCCAGAGTTGTAGTCCAACATTAAAAGCACTACACCACACTGGCTCTCCTATCATCAAATGCCAAAGACAAGCCAATCCATGCCATGGGTGTGCACCTTCAGGTCCCCTATTGACTTTTGCTGACCCTATAGATTTTTCATAGGGTTTTCTTAGGCAAGGAACACTCAGCACCTGGTATTCATTGGCAGTCTTCCATCCAAGGACTAACCAAGACAAACCCTGCTTAGCTTCCAAGATCAGGCTGGATCTGTTGCCTGAAAAGCATTTAGGGCAGCTTGACATAAGGGAAAAAAGAAAGCAGTCTTATGTGGAGATGTCTTGTGCAACTGTGATGAAAAGATAAAGCTTCCTGCAGCTTGTGTGGGTGGTGAGACATCTCAGGGGGCTTGAGGGTTTCTTGCCAGGGTTTCTCTGACACTTTCTCTTGTCAGGAGCCTTCCGTTTTGCAATAGGAGCCTGCCCAGCTTTTAGGATCCGCAGGGGAGCGTTTTCTCTCTTTCCCACCTGGAGAGGGAAGAGGGGACGGGGGCTTCTGGGCAACTGCTCCTAGGCTGAGGAAGACCTTCTATATACGCCTATAATTAGGCAGCCCTTTGGCTGTTAGCAGGCTCTTGCAGAAGGGTCTTTGCATGGCCCTGTTTTTATCTCCATTGGTATGGTTTTAAATGCTTTCAGAACCTTTTGAATTAGTGTTTTTAATGGGCTTGTTTGATTTATATTGCAAAAGGTTTTACTTGTATTCAGCTTTTAATGTATGTCGGAAGGCACCTTGGTCGCATACTGGGAGAAAGGTGGAATGTTAAATATCTTCTTCACCTCTGCACCAAACACACA